AGTACTTCAATTCAAATGCAAATAAATACAGATAATGAGATTTCGTATCGATGATTGATCGATCGATAAAAAAAGTCGATAATAAAAATCATTTATTACGAAACTTTCAATGAAACTTGAAGCACATAAGAAGATAGCATGTTGTCGAAGCTGTGACACGATAAAACAGCCTCCTTCGTCTTTTTAGAGACCCTTCTTCGGCTAGACGGCCTTCTTTTTTTCTTTCTTTCTTTTTTTTTTTTTTTTTTCCACCGGCTACTCGTCTAGCGCTGTTCGAGTTTCCAGCTGTCGTGACACGACTTCGTGAAAGGGACTGAAGCATCGTCGACAAGGGGAGCGTGCTTTAACGAGACACGATCGATCTACCCTCGCCCGTATCGCGTCTATTCAGCCGTACCAGGAAGGGGGAGAGAGAGAAAAATACGATTCCAGGTAGATAGAATACGACGAGATAAGAGTATCATCCCTACATTTTGTCGTGCAATCGATATTATTAACCAAAAAAAATTCTGTCCTTCACTTTCACGTAGTGGAAAAATATATGAAATCTGTGTGGAACCGACTGTTTTACCGACAATTCACTACGAGATTTAAAATTGATTTCTAAAGTTCTGCTTTCTTTGACTTTTTTTTTTTTTTTATACCTCAATAATTGGAAGAATTCTACAATTCGAAGATTTCGATTCGGAAAATTTCGCGTAAAAAAAATACCAAAATACTCAAAATTCGTTGAAATTGAAATATTGACATTTTTTTTTTCGTGAACGAGACGAAGAGCGGAAAAATGTATCGAGGAAAAGCGCTGGGTTCGGGTCATCGAGCACGACGAGAAGGAGAAAAAGGGGTAAGACGGAGAAAAGGAATGGCGGAACGACAAGAAAACGGCAGGCTAAAAGAATCCGCCGGATTTCCGCTCGACGTTAAAGCGCCTATCGAGGCCGTTGCGCAACGCGCGTGCACGCCCGATAACGATGGAAATGCCTTCCACGTTGCTCCACGGATCTTATCTTTGGAAACCGATCAGATTTTCATCGATATAACATATCGTTTACTACTCGTCAATGCAGATATCTCTTTCTTTTTCTTTCTCTCTGGAAATTTTGGTCGATGGTAATGATACCTTAATTACTGCCATCGGGATAATAATAATTTTTGAGCTGATGAACGACAGAAATTTAAATAACGAATGGAAATGCGATTGGAAAAAATTATGCTTCGGAATTCCATTAAATAATAATTAACGCTTTACAATACGTATGCAATTTTATGAATAACAAAATATTATTGAGGTAACGATTATTTTTAATTTATAAAACCCCCAAAAAAAAAAAGAAACGAAAAAAACCGATCTAATAATCATCGAAAGCGATTCAAACGAGTTCAGAATCCGCTCGAATTCGCGCGATGCTTGCGGAATCACGTAGAAGGCGTGTCGTTCTTTTTCTGAAGCGAGGCTCGCATCTTCCTTTCACGGCACGCTGCAGTCCATCGTGTTCTTCTCGTTCGCGAATACAGAGAGAGGGAGAGGGAGAGGGAGAGAGAGAGAGATATTCGACACGAGTTCAGAACTGACCTAAGCCAATGGCCACTCGTGATAGTCGACATCCGGTCCGGATCATCGTTCGTTAATAAAAAAGTATAATAAAGAAAACCAGAGATACGGAACGAATTTGTTCGCCTATCGTTTATGCAGCATATTCGGTATCCGTTGTTATATAATCATACGTGAACGCCGAGATCGATTGGGACAACTCTGTTTTCGATGATGAAATTGAAATGAAAATCCGTTCAAATGGATCTTTCTTACACCGAAAAACGTACAGTGGCTTCAAAAATTATTTAATCATCGTTATATTTTATAGAATTCACATACGTATTATAAAAATGAAATATGAAGCGTTACAAGAATATACTTCATTCGAAAGTAATCGAGTGAGATATATAATTGCGAAAAATTTCGAATTGCTTGCCGGGATAATAAGACATCCCAATGGAAAAATTGACAATTCTTATGATAATTATCCGGGCAGTATTATAGAGATTTACAAGTACTATTTGTATTGAATAATTAAATTTCAAATGAATTCATAGAAAAGTCGAAAACGCAACGTCGAAAGGGGTAGGGCCGAAAGAAGCATATACGATTTGAGAAGTGGAGGACGCGTGGGCCAACAACGTGGTCGGAGCTGCTTTCTACGCGCGGGCGAGAAACGCTGGTTGCATACATAGGACGGGGTTACAGCTTACTTGCCACGAATTTTACGCGTTTCTATCACCCACATACGCTTCGATATTATTGGATCGAATAATTTATACTCCCATTTGAATTCGAAATCTAGACCCATAGGAGCAATGTCCGACCACTACCGCTTCATCGTACTCACTCTCTCTCGTACTCTTTCTCTCTACTGTTCGGTTGATCGTTCTGCTACAACGATTTTGATTTTCAATCGATGTATCAGTAGCACCACGGAGAAGTTCACAGATATGTATAAAAGATTTTTCTATGTGATAGTTTGAAAAATGATAATAAATAAAAAGGAATGCTGGATAAAATTTTTGCACAAAGAATATTTAAAAGTTAGTTAAGTTTTGCAAATTGCACTTAAAGTAGAGATTTATTTAATCAAATTATGTAATATTTATATAAAAACTTTTTTTTACTTACAATTTCATCCGTGAAATGTAAAGGTTGGTACATATCTTGTCAAGTTTTTTTTGAGGTTAGGATATCAACTTAATGTATTTATAATAATTCATGTCCAAAATTTTTAAAAATGAGATAGTTAGATTATGAATAAAATCTTTACAAATATCTCCATCAATCGTGGGTGTAAAAAAAATGATCCATCTCCCTTAAAATTATTATTTTTCTCTTCATTCTCTTATTCTTGATTTTAATAACTGGCATTAGTTACAAATCGATCAAAGTATCCAAAGAATATTTAAGAATGGGAGTGTACGCTGATAGATTTCTCATCACTTATTCAAAACAATAAGAATGATTAGTAACGGAATATTATCGAAGATAGAATGGTAAGGTAATTCAATTTGACACAATATCGATCGATAAAACATGTGTACACCGGTAAAACAGTTGGAGAATTGACAACAAAGATACAGCATGTATCACAATTCACAATAGATTGGCGTTCAAATTTGACGAAATAATTGAATGTTGTCAAGTCAAAATAATTGAATGTTTCTTAAACGAGCGCGGAGAATACTTATGTCCAGATAAATCAACTCGATTCCTACGCAACGAAAATTCGAAACGATTCTTGCGCAAAGAACGCGGCCATTCGGAGGGGCGAAAACCGTTTGCCTAATAAATCATTTCGGTTGGCGAGCATGGTCACCAGAAGGCGTGGGTGTACTTCACGAGAATATACTTGGAATTTTTGTTTACGGAGAATTTGCAGCCTGCTAATGGCATTGCTACGCCTACGAATTCGAGGCTAGGCAACCTGTAACGTTCACGTGCTACCGCGTAAGGCGAAACAGCAAACGAAACTACCCACCAGTTTAACTCCTACGGGAAATGGAGAAGGAACTCGATCATCTATGGGACCAGTCGATAATTTCATCAAATTTTCTAAACGTTTACGAAACATCCGTATCTCTCTGAAACTATTATCCTTTAACTTTTTCATTACGATATCTAGCTAAAACTGTTCGATACATACGCATATGAAAGTTTTAGTGTCTAGTGTTTTTTTACAAGTGTCTACATTATCTACGTAACGCATAGCAATTATTTGGCCGCCATATTGTTGTCGAATCGTCTACTAGAGCGACCACGAAAACAAGTTTATTTTCTTTCGAAAAAAAATGTCTTCTTAAAAAAGTATTATGGTTTATTTTATAGACTTGGTATGAAAATTTGTCGATAAGGAGATTTAGAAAGAAATCTCAAACGATTAACGCGGAAAATATCGCATAAATTGGAAGACATTGACGTTAGTCGCACCTACGAAAAAAAGGAAAAAGAAACTAAAGAAAATTGGCTCGTGCGATTCATGTGTTCGACTATTCGATCGAAATCCATCCATCGATCGACCAACTTGGATAAATGTATTTATGAACAAGTTCACCTACGCGTCGACAAATCGATCGCTCGGCACAGAGAGCTCGAATCGCATGGCTCCTTAAGGATTCTGGTTCGAATTCACCGATAATCATATTCAAAAGCGATGAGGAAAAGAAACACACACGACTACCATGCGACAGTACTTTAAATTAATTCTCGAGACGAGTTTCACTGGTGTGATCTCGCTCGCGCGACACAACTTCCATTCGATTTGTATGCTCGATATACCATGACATTTTATAAACATATATTTTTCTCACTTGTGAAAAGAATGAATTCTAATCGATTCGTTTTTTTTTTTTTTTAGATTTCATCTGGAATTTAGAAATTAATAATAATGATAACAAATAAATCATGGAATATTAGAACGACGATAAAAAAAAAAATTGAAAATAGAGATAAGTATTCGCCTTCCAAATTCTATCATAGAGAATTAAAATATTGTTTTCTAATTTTCTAATCGATACACGAAATTTTTTATTGGAAAATTAAAATTTGTCGTTGGATATGTTTCTAAGATGTTGTAGAAAGAACCGCTCTTTCGAATATTTCATTTTTCTTGATTTTGTCAAGTGTAAGTAAAATGTATTGATTAAATTTAGCATGCGTGATGAAAATTTGTGAAAAAAATAACAAAAAAAAGTAGTACTCACATCTTTGCTGGGTACGCAAAGCGGTGTTCCTTCTTTCACGATCCCAGCTTCTACCATTACTCCCATCACGATGGGATCTCGAGAATTGAAGATGTACTAAAAAAGAAGACGAATATTTTTCTTTAAGAAAGAGAATTTTTGGCAAAGATAAGAATGATCAGAACGATATATAAACAATATTATATATTTAATTATATTTGATATTTGTATTATTCAAAAAGCTAAATTGATCATTTCTAACTTTCTCATTTATGAATTACAATATTTAAATATAGAATTTCACAGAATTTCTCCGCGTATTTTCTCCAATTGTATTGATTTTGAATTATATCTAATACAATGTTATAAATGAAACAATTGTTTTTCTTTTTCTTTTTTTGCAGTTACAAAGTATTCACTGTACACGATAAAAGGCAATATGAAATTATTAGAGGACAATTCCATTATTTCTATCATTTAAAAAGGAATAAATATATGTATACCTGCGGCAAAATACGAAGTTTGCAGGGAAACACAGCAATATGCTTGTTTTCATCGCGTTTACGTTGCTTCAGCTCCTCTCTATACGCGGTGAACTTGTCGAAGAGATGGTAAATAATATCCGCTTGGAAAATTTTAACTCCAAGGGAATCGGCCAATTCTTGGGCGTCTCTCTCTATCTTTACATCGAATGCGAGGATGGTGGCATATCTGTAAATATTGATCGATATTCGTCAAAATACAAATCAAAAGATGCTATATATATATATATATATATTAGAGATGTGGAAGAACTCGAGAATGTCTTAATGTATCAATATAAAGATGAAACTTATTGTTTTTAACAAGAGATAAAATTTATACTTTTTTTTTTATATATAGACAAAATACATTAATTACAAAACAATCGAAGCAACAGATCTTTCAAGAGAAACGAGCTACTCACTGACTGTCATGCTCCAACATGATAGAGGCCTTCATGACATCTTTTTTGACAACGGGGCCGATACGAATTCCGGCATACTGCAATAGAAAAAAAATTGTAATTTTAAAAAAATTGGATGCTTTGGTCGAAGCTGAAAAATCTACTAACCAAAAAAAAAAGAAAATCAATTTGTAAGTATTCAAATATTATCCAATGATATCATCAGATGGATAGGGAAGATGGTTATCAAATTTTGTTAAAAAAAAAATTTCAATTTATTCATTCGATTATATTATTAGAGAACCAGACGTATGAATATTGTTTTGATCCAGTGTAACATCTTGGGTTGCGTGGGCCACGTTTAAACGGGAACTCTCGATTCAGTCGCAGCGGAGTTCCGTACTTGGAAGGAAAACAAAATATTAAGGTAAGGCATAAACCACTGTCACCGTAACATAAATACAGTGGAACGCTATGCGAATGTAAGCGTGTGCGCCTGTGTTCGACCGCAAAAATAACTAGTGACGCATGCTGTCCGGATTCGGCTTCGCGGCGAGACACGACACAACGTAGAAATAAACGCGCCGATGCAGCACCTACAAACAAGCTGTCTCCACGATTGTCGTTACGATCGAAACAAATCCTTTAAATTCTGCACAGATATGAATTAATCTCCGACGACGAGGTTTGATAAATTTCCTCCCTCTCCCTCTCTCTCTCTCTCTCTGCTGATAATTTCACCACAGAGAGTACATTACGAGTACAAACTTCAATTCTTTTTGGTAAAAAAAATTCTCGAGAATAATTTTCCAATTCGAAATAAGAATATTTTTCTTCTTCTTTTTTATTTATAAAGATAAAACGATATTAAAAATCTCTTTTCACGAGTTGTATCGTGGCGATTAAACGTGAAGCTTTCCAAAAAAGAGTAAGCAGGATGAAATAATAATAATAATAGGCAGATCAATTTGGGAAAATAAGTTAAATATTTATCACGCGCGTACACGCGTGTTATTTAAGACTTTCTTCTATTAAGATAGCGCAACTTTCGAAAGATAATGTACGACTAATTGCCGCGGTGGATAAAACGATAAATAAAAACGCGTAACAGTGGCTAACATTTACGAGCTAATTTTCGAGTTCAGACGAGCAACGACGGGTCGATAATCATTCATCGAACGGGGGGAGGGGAGAGGAAACAGGACGAGTAGAAGAAGATGATAGGTTGCCGAGAATTTTGTGAAGATAAGACGGGTTTTTAAGACTTCCGGTGCGTGGTCGCATTCCGATATTAGGACGAGATACGGCCTAGCTTTTTTTCTTTCTTTTTCTTTCTCTTTTTCTTTTCCTGGACCACCGTATACAACCCATTAAGACGAGATATACGTTCTTTCGCTGACGTATAAATATCCGTATACATTCCGGCGTGGATACGTAATTGTTTTTCACTTTTGTTGCAAATAAGAAACGTCATCTGCATTCTTATGTAATTCCGTTACATACGTTGTAATTTTTATTGGGTTTTTTTTTCCCCACTTATCAATTCACGACAAATTTTGTTCGTAATTTTTCCTTCTTTTTTTTTCTCTCCTTTCTAGTCAATATCGATATCGACGGTAGAGGATCCAATATGACAGATATAAATAACGCAGAAAATTATTGTAAATGTGAATGGACAACGATGGAAATCCATCCGACGATTTACACGATGGATGAACAGGCCAACGGAAGGGAAAAGGAAAGAAAAACGCGGACCAATTAGAAGGCATCACCGCTCGGTAAATGAGAGCCTACCGAAATACCGGTAGCTGGTCATGTTTCATTGATGAATTGTGATACCATCCGGTGGAACAAAGCAAAAAGATCGGGCGAGGGGTAAAATCGATCAATGTGTAAGACAGACAGAGAGAGAGAGAGATATAACGTGAAAACGAGAATAAGAAGAGATGTCGCTGGTGAGGAATACAATATTAATGAAGTGAAGCATGCGAAAATACATAATTCAAAAGTGAGAAAGGGGAAAAGATTGTTGTTAAAAATGGCTGTACTGAAAATATATTTAAGAAGAAATACACTCGAGATTATTTAACGAATTTTTTCACTACAGTGTTTAGTTTCAAAACACATCATATAATCGGAAATTCGAAAATCGATTTGGCAGTAGTGTGCCTGTTTCAAACGGAACAGATGCTATCGAGAAAAGGGGAAAGGAGGAGGAAAATAGAAAAAAGGGACAAACAAAACGAAGAAGGGGGAGGGGGAGGGGGGGAGAGGCGGTGAATAAAAGGCGTAAGAGGAACGAAGAAGGAGGAAGTGGAGGGAAAGAGATAGATCTTCACAGAGGAGAAAAGGCGGACGACAGATGTTGCCAACGAAAGAAAGCTAGTACAAACGAGAGGAAGTCGAGAGGAAGAGAGAAGAGAGAGGGCTAAAGAAGAAAGAAGGACGCTTCCGGCATTAAAAACCGGCTGACAGTGCACGGATCCTCTTCAGCCTCTTGTCACAACCGCGAAACGTTTGCCGAACAAGGAACTACTAATTTATTAACCAACCCTTTAACAGTACAATGAAATCATCAGAAATTCAAACCGGGCAATTTAGAAACTGAGAATAACGCTTTTAAACGTTAGTTAAACGTTGAATTTTTTAATCAGATAAGATCAATTAGATTTGACGATTATTGTGTGTGGCTTTAAAATGAATTTCTCCTCGTTCATCGATTCGAAGATTAATTTAATTTCATCGAGGTTAAATAATACTTTTTACAAACTTTTTATTAAGCCGCAAATCTTTCTCGATTTGTCTACTTCCACGGGTTTGCCGATTGTGTCATCATCTCGTGAAGAAAGAAATTAATTGATGATATTTAGTTTCGACTTTCGTTGTATTAAAAAAGAAAAAATATTTTTATTGGAGTTATATAATTTCAGAGATGTTTCACGCTATTATTATCGATTCATTAATTTATTGTATGGTATTATTCATTGAAAGAAAGAAAAATTTGTCTCGAAAAAGGATAATTTTCCACTTTCGTATATTAATTGAGTCGCATTAAGAGGTAGAAATGAAATTCGATAAGTATCTATCGCACGTAGCTGAGTGAAAGAAACGTGGGAACAACTGGTTGCTAATTGACATTGCTTTGCACTGCATTCTCCACTTTCATTTCACATTTTTCTCTTTCTTTCTTTCTTTCTTTTTTTTTACTTGTCCCTCCGTTGGTCCTCATTGTCATCGATTACCGGTTAGTTCAACGATAGATGACTCGTTTAACTTGTCATTTCTCGTTTTAGAAGTCTACACGAAAAAGAGGATATTTCGAACAATTTCTGCATATAATATAAATTCGATTTGTAAAATTTGCTACCCTATCTCGAACTTTTAATTATTGTTTTTAAATAAATAAATAATAAGTAAAAAATTATAAATAAGAAATAAGAATAAGACAATTTTCAATCAGATATAACGAAAATTTTTGTACATGGAAAAAATATAGATAAGAAATATTCGAATCTATTGATATGTCGCCATTTGTACGAAACGATTAATATTTTATCGATCATGCAATTAAGTGATAATCCTTAATACAAACTTTACACACCCTAATATAAATATATATATTTTTTTCGATATTACCTTCTAAAATTTAATCAATTCTTATAAAAAAAGAATTTTTTTGTCGAAAGTTATTGAATTGGCAAAAAAAAAAAAAACAACTAAACGCTATCGTTAATCAGTTTCCGTCATTTTGAGATTGTTGGTCAACGGCTGTTTATTTTTCTTCTTTTCTTTTCAGAGGCCGACCATAATCTCTTAGAGCGGATTCTCTCTTCGTGAAAACGTATGGATATCGTAGGATGCCGGCACACGGCCGACAGAGCGTGCACTCGCGTGTCCGCGCTCCGCATATCCGCTCCCATGTCCTGGTATAGCTGCTTATATACCGCGGTTAAAAACAATGCGAGGAAACGAGCCATCTTTTCCTGCTATGGAAAAGGAGCGGAGAACTGCACCTCCGTCCGTCCGCTCGTCAACAAGTTCCATCGTGCAACGGAATCAACGATCGAACGATCCAAACTCGATATATCGCGAGAAATCGAGGCATTTCCACTAGAGATAAGTCGAAATCTGATTGAAATTTGCGAAACTCGAAATACTTGATTTTTTTCTTTTTTGATGTGTGGGGAATTTTTTTAAGGTTGTTATCAACCAATGATAACAAACAAGCTATTCTTTCTTTCTTTCCTTAAGAAATACTTAATTTTTATATTTTCTTTTATAATATAAACTATATAATATGATGAATTGAATTATTTATTTTTAATTAAATAAGAATAAATTTATAACGTGTAAATTAAATTTTTTATCCAAGTTTTTTTAATCACAAGAAAATTTTAGTAAAAAAATTTGAAGAATTTGAGAACTCGAAATCTTTTGAGTTTCAAAAACTCTATAATATATAAAGATACAGTAACAGCAGACATTTAAAACTCAAAGTAATGTTTTCTTATCCGAAAGATTTTTTTCGTTCGGGGAATAAAACATTAATTTCTACGTGGCTATATTACAAATAAGGTAGGTAATTATTAATCGATGCGCGTGGCATTCGCTTATTCCAAGAAGAATAGCGCGTGTCCCGGTTAAACTATTTAATTCGATCCTGCTTGCGCGCGCTTCTAAACAGGACGAGGACAGGAAGATACTGGACAAGAATTTTCAATTCGCCAACGTCAATCAAGCGGATATGCGTATACGTATAGTTCGAAGTTGAAACGAAATAATTCGCTTTTTAAATATTAAATATTTCGTTTCGATTGCAACATCGATTAAAATATTCGATTCAATTTAACATAACCTCAAATTCATTATTCGTGATGAATAATGTTATTCGACTATTTAGTTTTTTAATTTCGAAATTATTATATATATATATATAATATCTAACAGAAACGAAGATCGAATTATTTTTCGTAAAAGAATAATAAATATTTTATAGAAGAACGATATTACGATTCAAATGTAAATATTTCGATTTATTCAACGTATATCGATTGATTGAAATATATTTCGAAACATCTGGCATAAGAAAAAAATAAAAAAAGAAGAAGAAGAAAAAGAAGAAATCAATATTTGAATCGATAAAAGATTCCTTCAACGATATTTATGTCTCATCTCATAGAGACACAAACGTTTTATAAACCAATACACAGAGGACTACGATTCGAATCGTACGTCCGTCCGTTCGTCGATTCGTCCACCCACGGTGCTTTTGCTTCGAGTGTGGGCAGTTTCCTGTACGTTGGTCACGTATTCCTTTTTCCAGCCCACACGCGTTTGTGTCTCTGTGTTGGCAGAGAAGAGAAGTCTTCTCAGAGAATCTCTATATATTGTTAGTGAGTGAGGTTAGCCCGTCAACCCCATGATTTTTCCATCTCTCATTGAGAAAGAGAGAACTTTTGAACGAGAAATACATAACGGATAAAGATAGAAGTAGAGAAAAAAGAAAAATAAGAAAGAGAGAAAAGAATAAAAGAAAAGAGAAGAAACTAGGCTACCTCTGGTCACTGCTACGGTCTACTCCCTCTTGCATGCCATATGTAAAAGCATACCCGCATTACTCGTAGAGTGACGAACCGTACTTACGACTGACTGCGTACGTGTATATGCGATAAACCTGACGTCACACGCCACGTGATCGTATGATATGGTGGGGGAAGCCCATTCATAATCCGCGGAAGGACAAGCTTAAGGCCGTTTCGGATGTTACCTCGAACTGAACCATCGTAGCTATGTACTTGCTATGTATTGCTTTTTCTTTTTTTTATGCGAACATTGCGAACGTGCGAACATTGAAGCACTGCTGTTTGAGCTAACAATCTAAATGCTATTAAACCGAATTAGAATATGAATAGTTATTAAATACATTATCGTGCAAAAATTAAAAATTATTTTTCCACTTGCAATTACATTATATAATTTTCTATTAATTTTATTATTTGTTATTTAATTAAATATTAATATCACAAATATCATTAGTAATTTCACTTACAACGATAGATTTTTTTATGAATAATTTTTTAAAATTATAAAATTTTAATCTAATTTTTATTTTTTAAGTTTTAAATTTAATTTAAATAAAGTAGTGATTCCAAATTTTTGAATTGTAATATATTTAACTAGTACTTCAACAAAAAATCCTCCCCCCTCCCCTTTCTTTTTCTATCTCATTATGATATTTTTTTTATAACTATTGTCTTTCGTTTAATTATAATACGATAAATATTGTAACTATTGACTTATATTTTATATCGCATTAGAAGAAAGATCTAAAATGGACAATGCCTTAGAAATTTACTCTATAAATTCAATTTTCTTTTTATCTAGTTGAAAATTTTAATTAAGATATAACAATCATTAATTTAAAAATAGAATTTATATGATGAAAAATCACGAATCATAAAAGATGCCCTATAGACCAGAAAACCTATAAGGCGTGCTCACGGATGCACAACACAGTTGATAGTACGATGGATCACAACTACAGCATCATATATGACCAATGAGTCGTATCCTGCTAAACTGTTAAGAAGGAAGTAGTTCGTTGCTGCTGTTCTCTCTTTTTCTCTCTCCTTTTCTATCTTATTCCTCCCTCTACACATCTTTCTCTCTCTCATTTTTTTGCCGGTTGCACAGTTCGCTTTCTTTTTTTACGCTTTTAAAATTATTTTATAATTTCTTTCATTAAATATGAAAATCTATTGAAAAATTATCAAACGAATAGATGCGTAGAATATCGTAATTATATAAATTTATAAAACAAATTTTTAACGCGTTATAAGTTTTTTTCTTTTTTATTTTTTAAATTTTAATAATCGTATTAAAATTTAAAAATTTGTGAATACGATTTAATTTGTTTAATATTTGTTATATATTTTTGTTTCATTATTTTATATTCTTAATATTCTTAAATGATCTATAATAAAATAATATTGGATAAACAATAAATAAAACTCACCGGAATCTTACTGCTTTTGAGAAAGTCCAATAATGCTTCAAGAGCACCCAATGTTGATGCTTGCACATAAACACCACGTTCTGCAAGCCGAATATTACCGAGAGCACTAGACAACTCTTTTGCAATTTCTTCTTTCAAAACTTCTACTTCATCTGGTTTTTCAGCCACTTGGAGATTCAATCCTATTTATAAAATATCAAATCGTGTTTTATTTCTTCATATTATAAATATAATAATATCTGTATGCATATCAATATAATAAATTATTTACCTGCAATAGCTTTCTCTAAATCTTTTGCAGCAATTTTTACTCCTTGTGCGGCTTTTACTTCACGATGTTCAATATACGCATTCTATAATTCATACAAAAAAAAAAAAAAAAATAAATAAATAAACAAATAAAAATAAAAAATCAATATCATAGAATTATTTTTATGCTAAGAATAATACAAAAAATAAATTCAATCGATATTATATTCATTGCAGAGAAAATTTCGAATATTTACTTTGACTCTCAATTCTTTAAGCGGTTGTGGCATAAGTAACGAACGAATTTGAGTTACTATAGGACCATCGGTACCCGCTACTATCATTGTTTCGCCTTCTTTCAACATTCCATTGACTAGAATACAGTCTATTGTAGTTCCAAGACCTGGCAATGCTTTCACTTCTAAAACCGTTGCTTGAAGCTCTTCACTATACATAAGTCTTTTAGCTAATGGACCTTGACAGGCATCAACTATTAATGATAGCAAATTACCCATACCTTCACCTATATAAAAAATAGTAAATAATATTTTATTACTGTAAATTAAAATTTTTCATATTATATATTATTAAAAAAATTAATACAATATATTGATTTACCTGTGATAGCACTAGTTGGTACAAGAGAAACATAGCTTCTAGGATCCGGATTTTCATAAAACAATGCAGCATTCAAACCTTGTTCCGCAAATTGTACAATAACATCCTTGGAACGTTTTTCAAATTCACGCTGTGTATTAATAGCTTGACTTTTTACAATATCTTGAATATCTTTTCGATTCATAGTTTGCCAATCATACAATCTGTAAAAATTATATTTATCTTATAAAAATTATTATAAGATATATATTTTTATTATTATTATATATTTATCTTATATATATATATATATATATATAAATATATATATATTTAGTTTATATATATTCTCATAGAATTGATTTTATATATTATACCTGTCAATCTTGTTTAAAGCTACAATGAAAGGACATTTCTTCGTCTTCAGTAAATTAATACTTTCGATGGTTTGTGGCTCTAAACCATGCATAATATCAACGACTAATATCGCTATATCACACAATGAAGATCCTCGATTTCTTAAATTACTAAAAGATTCGTGTCCTGGAGTATCTATTATCAAAAGTCCAGGTATTCTGAATTTCTTTTCGTCGAACTAAACAAAAATTATTACTTTTTATTAAACTTTCATTTATTATTTTTTACCTTTTATCCTGTATATAATATATAAAACAATTGTAAAAAATAACGTACTCCTTTTACATGTTTCGTTGACTCTCGAATAGCATCGATAGGTACATTTGTGGCGCCAATTTGCTGAGTTATACCACCTGCTTCACCATCTTGTACATTCGTTCTTCTTAATTTGTCAAGAATTTTTGTTTTTCCAGTATCTACATGACCTAGAACACATACTACGGCAGCTCTAAGATTATCTAACGATCTTTTTTTTTCTGCTTCTATTCTTCGAAGTTGTATTCGTTCTCTAACTCGCTCCTTTTTCCTTGCTGCATCTGATACTTTATCCTCTAATCCACTATCATCTTCACTTTCCTCAGTCTCTGATTCACTTCCACTCTCACTTTCTGATTCACTTTCTGAAGATTCTTTTCTAGTTTCTTCAATTTGAGATTGCTTTTCTTTTTCAAACGAAAGAATTGTTTGCTGAATTTTTTCAGGAGTTTTTGACACATCATCTAATTTGTCTATAAAATTATCTTTCATTAAAAATATATTTCATTATATACATTTGGAAATATATTTATAATTATATCTTAATACCTTCATCTTGTTCATCTTCACTAGTTTCAGCATCCCATGAATCTTTAACATCATCTTCCTTTTCTTCAGATTCTTTTGATTGTTGATCTATTATTTCTACTTCAACTGTATCTGTCTCTGGTACATTTTCTTCTATCTTTTCATCATCTTTTTCATCGACGCTCACTTGTTGTTTTACTTTGTTTGGTCTTATACGAGTTCCTGAAAAAATGCACATATATTTAAATTTCTTGTTAAATTATTTTTTATAAAAGATTTATAATTTATATATTATAATTACCAGGCCTAGTTTTCTTTTCTCCTGCACCTGGTAAATCTACTAAACCTTGAGCTTTAAGTGCATTAATCATAGCCTGTGCTCTAGCTCTATCTTGTTTTTGTTTTGTTGTTAAAAGTTTCCCTTCTGCTTTTAATCTTTCTTTTCTTTGCTTTTCCTTAAGCTTTTTTCTTTCTTTCCTTTCCTGTTCAAGTCTCAATTGCTCTAATCGAGCTTGTTCCCGCAATTCTTCTTGTCGTAATCTTTCTTCCTCTTCTCGTTTCAATCTTTCTTCTTCTTCTTTTAATTTCTTTAAAGCTTCTTGCATTGCAGCTATAGTCTTCTTTCCAGGACCTTTGCCTATTGCACATATCTAATTATACTAAATGTAGACACAAATTAATGTTATATCCTAACAAATATAATTTGTATTAATTTGCTACTTTAAAAAGGACTATGAAATTATTTGTTACCTTTTTCTTTTGTTTCTTCTTTTCCACCTTTCTTTTTTTTCTTTTTGCTCTCTTCATTTTCACTAGGTACAGAAACATCTACTTCGCTGATATCCTTCAATTCTGCTGTTTTTGTTTCTGGTACCTTTATTTCTGATTCTTTCTTCATTTCTTTTTCTGCAGGTTTTTCTTCTTTATTTTCTCCCTTTTTATTCATTTCCTATCAAAAAAATATAATTTAAATATAACAATATAATAAAATAATATAATATTTAATATAAATATACAATAATAATTTAAGTCACATACTGCTTTCTTTTGGGCAAGTTTTTTTTGTTTTTCTCTTTCTTTCTTTTCTTTCTTCTTTTGTGCTGCAGTTTTTACAGTACCAACTTCCATCTCATCATCAATATCATTTTCTTCAAGAAGTATACCAGTTTTCAACTCTTCTTTAATATCAATAATTTCACTTTTCTCTTTTTTCTTATCTTTTTTTCCTTCTTCTTTTTATCCTCATCTTCAGGTTTTTGTTCAATTGGTTCATCTTTGACTTCTTTTTTATTGCCAGAATATTCCAATTCCAATTCGGCCAAAACTTTTTCGATATCTTCGTCACTATCATTACGCTTTCTTCTGGCTATTTAGAATATAAAATATAGAAATATATTTTAATTTCATTACAACTTCAAATTATAACTTAATATAATAAAATTCCTTGTCATAAGAAGTCTTTATTATTCTTTATAAAATATAATTTTAAATATATTACAAAAGTTAATAAATTGATTAAACTATTATATGATATATATATATATTTTTTTATATGATACATAATATGATTAAATAAAAAATATTAAAATAAACTTTTATTATAAAATAAATATATTAATAAATATAATAAATTAATAAATATATTATATAATTAAATATTGTAATGAAAAGATAAGAAATGTATAGCAATATTGATAAAAGTACGTGACACTTTATGATAGACACTTGTAGCTTTCACTATCTAATTTATAATTAATTAATTAACTTTCACCTTATATAGTTATTTATTATTACATTTTTTAAATGTTTTTAACGTAATATATTAATATCATTTATAATGAATTTATATTCTAAAACAAAATATCGTAAAATTTAATATCAATTTTAAATTATGAAATATGCATCATAATGCTTTAAAATTATAATCATTTTCATAAATCACTTCGTAAAAATTTAAAGTTTCTATGAGTATAGAAAAAAGCAAACAAGATAAACTTTAATTTATCAAATTATAAATATTATAAAAAAACTAAAAATATATTATTATCCTTTCCGTATGTAACTCAAGAACAGTTAAATAGAGGTTAAGTGAAAGCAGACGACATTTATCATAAGAAAAAAATGTTAAAAGTTTAATTAAAAAATAACCTTATATATATATTTGAAATATTATTATTTTGTTTTTATTTAATGATACATATTTATAAATTTTATAGCTATTTTTTTACCTTTCTTGCCTTTCTTCGGTTGAGATTCCTGCATCTTGATCTACTTTTAAGATTTTCTTTATGTACGTTCAGTTTTTTAACAGTTTTTTTATCGTTTCAATAATAAAATTCTTTTGAATAGTTCAATTTTCACTTTTAAATATGCGTAATTTCGAGATAATTACAACAAATAAATCTTAGGAAATCTACAAACCCTCATATATCCTTTAATCCGGTCTGCACAACTAATATGTGCACAACTAAACCATATATCATTACTTTCTTATAAGATGCACATTACACAAAGATTAAAGTCAATTTCATACATATAACTAATAATTTATGAAAATAATTATTAATAAGTAAATATTCATTTCGTATTTTTTTTTAATTTTTATTTATTAAAATATATAATTTTTGAAAATACATTATTAATGTAAATATAAAATAACATGAAAAATAAAATAAAATGTAGTTTACATGAAATTTTCAATAACCAATCACATTGTTTTATTATTTTTACATTTATCTTATTATTTATGTTTTAAAATAAATTATTTATTGTATTTATAATTAACAATTTAATCTAATAAAAATTAAACTTTAAGTTTTATATATAAATTATATTAATAATAATGTTTTTGTTATTTTTTTTAATAGTTATTTTATGCTCAAATGCTAGTCAAATACATATACGCCATCTATGTAGTATCTAATAATTTCGATAAAAAACGAATGTCTCTTTCTTCACATCTCGGCTAAAATGGTAAGTTGGTTATAAATATAATCTAAAATACTTGAAAACATCTTCATATAAATAAAATAATAAAAGTTATAGTTTTATTAAAAATTTATTAAATATGGTTTTATAATTATTATTTTTTTTTAAATATTTTATTAAATAGTAATAGTAATATTGTTAATATGAAAGATTGATGTTAACGTTCGAACATAACCTTCATGATAAAACAGATTAAAATGTTTTGAGATTGAATCAATAATTTAATAGTGATTTTAATATATTTTTTTTTAAATAATTCATTAAATAATTATAAATATTCTAATATATATATCATGTTAATATTCGGATATAATTATAATATCTTTATAACAAAATAAAATCTTTTAGGTTCGAATAAATAATAATTTTATAATATAATTTTTTTTTCTTATTTAGTCTACACATAAAAAAAAGACCAGGAAGCTTCGTGGTCATGTAAGTCATGGTCATGGACGTATAGGTATGTTACAATATACATGTTCATTATAAAATTAATTTTAAAATTTTATTTTAAAATTAATTAAAAATTATATAAAATTATTAAAATTAAATAATAAAACAATATCTTATTTAAGGTAAACATAGAAAACATCCCGGTGGACGAGGTAATGCTGGTGGTTTACATCATCATCGTATCAACTTTGACAAGTACCATCCTGGTTATTTTGGAAAGGTAATATTTTTATTTTGTATTTTTATTATATTTATCATGTCAAATATTAAGTGATGATATTGAACTTTATTTTTCACCGGCGAACTGAAATACTTTGATTGCATTTAATATTCTGACATATTGCATCAATATTAAATTTGTTTTTAATTAAAAATGATTATTAGTAAATTTTTAATTTATATTTATAGCTTGGTATGAGGAATTATCACTTAAGACGTAATACAAAATGGTGTCCTACTTTAAATTTGGATAAATTATGGACATTAGTTTCTGAACAAACTAGGCTTAAATATAAAGATTCAGAAAATAAAGTTCCAGTAATTGATCTTGTTAAAGCAGTAAGTTTAAAATCATTATTATTTCATTATTTATTTCATATATATATATAAATATATACTTATATTAAATAAAAATAAAAATTATATGCTCTGAAATTATTTATTATATTACATTTACATTTTTATCATAAATTTAATTTTGTAGGGATATTATAAACTTTTAGGAAAAGGTCGACTTCCTAAACAACCAGTTATTGTTAAAGCCAAATTTTTCAGTAAACTTGCAGAAGATAAAATTAAAGCTGTTGGTGGAGTTTGTGTTCTTTCTGCTTAAATATGCAGGTAAATTATATCATAATGAAACTTTTAATATTTATTCGTATATTTTTATAATTTTATGAATTATAATTAAAATATTTAGTGATGATAATATGAACGGGCGGTCGAAAAAGTGCGTACAACACTTAACACTATGTTGATTGTTCTTTTTAACTGATAATGAAACTAATCTAATTTAATGATATTAAGGATTTTTTTTAAATTAATAAAGATTTTTTTATTTTTAGGAGCTGAAGTTTTGATTGATGTGGTCACTATGTATTCCAATAAATTTATATTCTTAATAAAATTTAATAACGAAAAAAGAAAGATCTTACAACATTATTTAATTTTTTTTTTTTATTTCACATTGAACGTAATTTTCACAAAATTCTTATATTTAAAATTTAAATAGATATTTACAGTTTAGTTGATAATAGTAATAATAGTAGTAGTAGTGATGAATATGTAGTAGTAGTTTGATGCAAATGAATGGATTTTATTGCATCTTTTAAGATTGCTTTCACAAATATCAACTATTTGGGATTAGGCTCTATTCATATTCAATATTGAGCTAGTAAAAATTACTAAAAATAATAAATGAATTAGGTACAATGGAGAACTGCAATCTGTTTTTACATTTTTTTATATACAAAAAAATAATATATTTATTTATTTAAAAAAGATTTAATATTCATTGGTATTTTTATTTTATTTTATTAATGAGCAAAAGATTATGCTATATGAGGAGGTGGTGGAGGTATTTGCATGCCTGTTGCTAAAAGAGCTGGTGGTGGTGGTACTGGATTAAACATAGGTGGTCTTGGTGGCGGTGGAACTGGTACCATAGGTGGTCCTAATCCAGGTCTTATTAAAGGAACTGGAGGAGGTGGTACTTTGCCAACTGAAGGTTTTTCATTTTTAAATGCAAATTGTAAAAAAAATTGTTTTGTATCTTTATTCCAGTGTGTCCAAAATTTGCCTTCTGCCTTTTCAACTTCTCTACTAGGAACCTAAAATATTATTTTTATAATAATATAAAACATATAAAACAATGAATAATTTTCTATTAGTTTATATTTATATTATAAAATAAACTTACTTTGAAAGCTATAGTTTCATAAGGCTCTGCAGCAAATAATAAATATTGCCACTTACGATCTGGTGGTTCAACTCTTTGTTCATATGCTGACATAAATCTATGTCTTGGAATAACATTATCTGCAACTTCTGGATAATCAACTTGAAATAATAAACTTTGTTGTCCTGATTCTGGATCTCGTTGTTTGGTTACTCTGTAACCAGGTCTTCCAATTTTTACAAATTTTTTGGGTTCTACACGAGGTTTTTCGGGTGCAAGTGTTTGAGGTGCTTCCTTTGCTTCCTTAGCAGCTCTTCTAGCTAAATTTGCTTGATGCTTTTTACCCTGTGTGTGAGCTAAATAACTACCTTCGTTATTGTGAAGAGTTAAACACAATTTACATTCATATGATCCTAAATGATTTTTCATAAAATATGGATCTTTGTTAAGATCGATAGTTTCCAATGCAAGTTGTCGTAAACGTTCTCTTCTATCCCGGTTACTTTCTGACCACGATGCAACACCTCCACCACCAGTTTTGCCTCCTGGTCGATTTTGAAAATCCATTTTCAATTTTTATTTATGTTATTTTACTTATTTATGTTTAATATATATAAATAGTCACGATTATAAACAGCACAAAATCTTGACTGGATAGTTTACTACTGGATAGTAGTACATTAACCTTACTTATAATATATCGAAGCTGTTGGAACGTCAGGGTAGGCAATATAAAGAACGTAATTAAATTAGAGAAAAATAATTTTTCTTATCCTTTCTTTGTTCTTGCTTTCAAATAAAAATTTTTAATATTTAATATTTTTTATATATATTTTAATTAAGCAATTTACAGAACTTTATTAATTTTAAATGATTTCATTATCTGATTTTATTATATAATGATAACTTTAATGGAATTGTTTTGTTATAATAAATATGTTATAATATATATTATATAATTTAAATATAAACATAGAATATAATAATTAATTAACAGCATATTTTATACATATATTAATATTTATATAATAATCATATTTTACGGAATCACAGATTGTATTTTACTAATGTTAATGTTGGTAGAGAGATAATATACATATATATATAACTATCTTTATCTTTATATCGTCATAATATACATAAAAATTAATTTTGTTCTTATTTACATTATATTTATGAAAATACAAAAATATAATACCTGAGAAATATAATATATTGATATTGTTAATATTTACACTATTTTAGTGAAAAGGAATAAACGTAATACTTCAGTAGTATTATGAGTAATAGTCTTCTAATGTTTAACAATATTGTAGACTGTAATTTCTGGAAGACTTTTTTTAACTATTGCATACGTTTTTTTTAAAATTTGACGATCTTTCATTAATATATTAGCTGGAACATTTTCTTTCATTTCATTCTGTAGAAAACATTAAATATATATGTCATTTCAACAAAGACTTCTAAGTTTTTAAGAAATAAAGGAAAAAAAAATAGACTATGAAAATTGAACATACTAATAAACAATACATATCTGAAAATAAAATTAAATTTCAACATATAGAACAATATATAGAAATATTTTATGAATGATATATAAATATTTCATTTTAAAATATGAAATTATTTTTTTCATGTTTAAGTAATATTTTACGTTAAATAATATTTTAATTTAATTTTAAAAAATAGATATTCATTACTTTTTTATCATTTTTCAAACATCACTTCATTGCATATAAAAATAAATAAATTGTAGAAATTATATTTGCTTAAGCACTATCAAAAAGAAAGTAAATCTTGATAGTTCAATTTTAAGCAATTTTAAGCAAAACATATTTGAAGAAATGTTTCATGTTTTTTCCAAATCAAATTGTTTGTTGAATTATATAACAGAAATATATCAATTAGATTCTTCTTTCAAAAATTCAATATATATTGAACATGATGCAGTCTGTGCTTCTTGCAATTCTCTTATTTTATTTTCTAAATTTTTATTTGTTGGCATTGTGCATAGCATACACCTTTTATTAATTTACATTAATATTTTTCTTTTTCTAGTTTTCTTATTTTTATATGATTCTGCAAAGATGTTATTATATATAAAATTATTTTTATATAAAAGCCTATGCTCCTTCCAATTCTCTTACTTTATCTTCTAAATTTTTTATTTGTCGGCATCGTGCACGGCATATATCTTTTATTAATTCTTTTTCTTTTTCTAATTTTCTTATTTTTATATGATTCTGCAAGGATGTAAAATGATTTTTATGTAAAATTATTATATTATTATTTTATATTCTTATTTACCTCAATTATTTCGTTATTCATAGTAAAAAGTTGCGGCGTATTATTAAATATTGTTTGACATGCTTGATCTCTTTTATTAATGCGCCATCGTCTACATATGTCACATTCCCATGTATTAATATCATATAGAGTCCTTTGAAGTTTTCTAACTTCAGAATTAAGTTCAGTATTCTATAAAAATATTTTATTATTAATTTTAATTATATATATAATTTGATCAATTATATTTTTTAAGATTAGAAAAATGATATTATACATACCTTTTTGCGAAACATAAGTAAAAGTTCTTCTAATTCTTTACATTTTTGTTGATAAGGAAAATTTTCACTTTGAATTTGAATTTCTAATGCTGCAATTTGTCCATTTTTTGATACCAATTGTAATTCTAACTCTTGAATTTTTTTTCTTAATATTTGACACGTTTCTTCATTTTCAATAGAATCAATATCAATCATTACATTTTCTAATTGTCTTCTTTGATTAAATATCTCATTTCTGCTACGTTTTCTTCTATTATTTTCAAAGGCAGGACTAGTAGATCTTGAACTGTTATTACTGTTGGTTTTTATTTCCAGTTCATTTTGATAATCATTATATTTCATTTGTAATTCCAAATTCTTTTTCAAAGTATAAAGAGTTTTCTCATTGTATAATTTTGTATCTTCTATCTGTTTTATATTAGTTTCTATTTTTATTTTAAATGTCTCAAGTTGATATGTGAGATTTTTATTTTCTTCTTCTAAAATCTTTAATTTTTTCTCTAATTCATTTATCAATTTAGTTTTAGTTTGCTGGATATATACTTCATCTTTCAAATTTGATCTTTCCATATAGCGTTCACATAAAATAGTATTACATTCTATTAATTGATTATCAAATTGTTTTTTTTAATAATAAAATCTTTTATTTGATTCATATATTCGTTAATTTCTTTTTCTTTTTGTATTAATAATAATTTTTTACCTTCTAATTCTAATGCAATTTTATTTTTTTCTTGAAGAAGTACATCATATTTACTATCTTCTTGAGATAAATATAAAGTAGTTTGTTTGATTTTACATAATGATAAAGCTTTTTTTATTTCTACATTTTCTTGAGAGAGCAATTCATATTGATTTTTTAAATTAACTAATTCTTTAAAAGTTTTGTTTTTACTTTCTTGTAATTCAATTATACGATTACTTGCTCCCTCCAAGTTATTTTGTAATCTTTTATTCATATCTTTTAATTCTTCCATTTCTGTTTCAGCTTTTATTTTACTTGTACTATTTCTAATTTTTCTTTCTAATTTTGCATTTACTAGTTGTAATTCTTCATATTTTTCTTTTAAATTATCTAATTCACCTATTAAAGTAATATTTTTGCTATTCAATTCATTTAATTGTTTATTTAATCCAATATTTTTTATTTCTTCTGAATTTAATTTATCTTCAATTATTTCAATTTTTTTTCTTTTTTCCATTTCCAATTTTTCTATTTCTTCTTTGTATCGTTCTATACTTTCTTTTCTTTCTTTACTTTGTTTTTCTAGCATTTCATAATCTGGTATCATATTTTCAAGTTTAGTTTTATATTCAGATAATAAATCACATTTATTTTTTAAAAGAACTGTAATATTTTCAATTTGGATTGCTTTTTGTTCTACTTCATGAGTTAATTCATTATAAGCTTCTGTGAGTTGTTCAAAATCAAGAGACATTTTTTGCATAGATTGATTACTTATTTTGAGTTCAGAGGAATTTATTTCTATAATATTTTTTAATTGTTTCTCATTAGCTTCAAGTCCTTCAATATTATTTTTCAATTCTATATTTTTTGTTTTATAAATTTCTATAGAAGAAATTAATTCTTCTATTTTTTTTTTATATTGCTCTTCTTCAAATTTTATTTTAGATTGAAGTTCAATTTCTTTATGTTTAAAAGCTTCTTGTACTTCTTTTTC